TGCAGTTGTGCTTTTCATTTGGGGCACATACTTGAAACTCCTTTTGGTTTTCTCTGTGCACAGCCTATCCTACTGTCAGCCCTTTGGGCCTCTTCGGTCCCTGTTGATCAGACATAACTCGCTGTCTTTTTTGAGGAATCTGCCAAGAGACCTCACCAATAGTTCTGCACCCCAGATGCCCTTTACTTCCAGGCAGCCCATTTCAAAGATATTTCTCAAATGCAGTTAAATTCCATTCTGAGGTCTAGCCATTCTGAAAGCCACTGTCACTTTGAGGGCTCCCTGGGACTTCTAAAAGTGAATCTTGAATATGCCACATGCCTGCACTTTAAGTCAGACCTTCCAAAACATGCTCTCCCTATTAGCTGAAAAGCTGTGTAACTATTTTCACACGGCGTGCTAATAAATGTACTCATAGCGATTATTCCAAGAAGAAGATTAGCGGTCATGCTAACCCTTTTGGGTCACTTAAATCCCAAGTGTCCTTGAGGCAGGAAAATTCCTGCAAAGCTGGAATGCTTCTTCAATTGTCAAGCAAACATTCACAACCAAAAGACACTTTTAAGCAGCTTCCCAGGGGGAAGAATTCAAGCCTGGGTTCTAGGTGCACGTGCACGCATACGCACATGGAGAAATTAGATCTTGGGAAATTGCTTCCCTGCACATAGACACAGCCCTCTACACACGAACCACACCCTAAGCAGGGAACCCAGGCCTCTGGAAGTAAGGAAGCCTGTGATTCTCCCAGTTGTTAGAACTCTTTTGAGAATGTTTCCCGGGAGGCTGGGTGACAGGGCCAGGAAGAGGAGATTCAAGACAGGAGCATCAGCAACAGCAAGTCAGCTCTGTGCAGGAATAAAGCAGTGAGTTTTAAAAAGTCATCATTTAAGTCCCCAAATTGAGTCCCCAATACTTTTTGTATGTCACCTAGGTTGTCTCTAATCCTCACAGTCCTTTGAGGATTATAACTAATCCCAACTTTGCACACCACTGAATTCCCTTCCTTGCTTTATTTTTCTCCATAGCACTTTCACTTTCTAATATACTGTAGAATTATTTCTGTAATCGATTGTCTGTCCTCAATAGGATGCAAGCTCTGGGAAGGCAGGCATTCTTTGTCTTGTTCACTGCTGCTTTCTGGAACCTGGAATAGATGAGCGAATGAATGCATGAATGGAGGCACAGAGAGGTTAGTAACTGCTCTCTGTCAGACCACAAGTGAGTGGTAGAGCTAAGATTTAAACCCAGGCCCATGTGCTACACAGACTAGGTAAGTAGTGGTAGTTGTGACGATCCAAAACACACTGTGAGGAGGAACAATGTGCAACATTTACTGCGTGGTTAACTAAATGAAGAGGTGCATACAGTCAAAGAAAACCACCAGATGCAGAAGGAGCAGGAAAGTAAGCCTAACTTTTGATCCTAACATGTGTGGGGAGGGTGCAACAGATAATGTGACTCTGGTGGTCAAAATCCAAAAGGCAGACCTTAATCCTGCACATTCCAGCAGTGTAGTATGATCTCTACAACATCCTGTATTACATACATTTATGTGGTTAATCCTGAAAGGTCTGGTCTCAAATCCTGGCCCCACCATTTCCTAATCTGTGACCTCAGGTAAAGTCATTCCTCTGTGAATGGAGAGAATTTACATGGGTTTTCTGAAGACTGACCAAAGTTAGGAACTTGGAGAAATCGGGACCATGCCTACCGTGTAGTAAATGCCCAATACGTATTATTTCTATTAGGTCGTTTTGGTGTGGTTGGAGAAGAAACAGGGTGTTTTAAAAAGGACCCCTGAGGGAGAAGTTAGAAAGGTACCTGGGTACTTCCTGTCCGTTAACCCAGTTAAAGGGTTTTGACCCTGGTCTGTAACAGCACCTGCTTTGCTTGGCAGCGGGTTGGGATGGATTCAACTGCTCAGGGCAGTTCCGCAGAGGGTTTCTCTGTAGACCAGCCGATTCCAGGCGAGCTGTGAGGCAGCCCGCGAAGGGGGTCTTTGGGATGGAAAGGACTCAGGCCTCTGTACAGGTTCGGAATTCAGAGCGATAAAAATAGTATCAACAGCTAACAGCACACCATGTTAGGGCATTTCGCTTTACCCATCCAATCATCGCAGATATTTTTATCTTCATTTTGCCACCGTGGGAGACTGCGGCGTAGAACAGTTAGATTTAACCACGGTCGAATGTTTAGGAAGCGACTGGGGCACAATTTAAACCCGGGCCGCCCGGCTCAGAGGCGGTTTACGGCGCCTGTTTTTGGACCTAGCGGCCCGACCGGTGGTCCTCGGGGGGCCCCGCGCCGCAGGGGAGGGCTCTGCCGTTTTGGAAAACGCGACGGGAATGACAGACATTCGGCTGCGATAGCCTTCAGAAGCACGGGTCAGACTAAACGTTTCCATCTTCGAGTTTGCAAAGTGTTGCGATTATCCTCCCAAATTTATGGCCAGGTTCAGGTAACTGCGTTTTTAAAATAGCAAAATAGAGCCCTCGCCAATTTGGTTCAGTGGATGGAGCCTGGGCCTGCAGCCTGAAGGGTCGCGGTTGGATTCCGGTCAAGGGCACACGCCCCGGCTGCCGGCTCCCAGTGGGGGGCGTGCAGGAGGCAGCCAATCAATGATTCTCTCTCTTCATTGATGTTTCTCTCTCTCCCTTCCTCTCTGAAATCCATACAAAATTAAATAGAAACCAGTGTTCCTCCCTCCTTTCCTGCGGGAGGTCCCGGCTGAGAGTCCGCTCTTCTCAGTTCTACAGCAGGGCCCGGCCTCCCCCTTCCTCGCCTCCAGGCCCCAGGGACTGGAACGCCTTGGGTTGGTAACGCCTGTAACAGGTGGGGGCGGATCGGAGGCGTCAAACCCAGCGCAGGCCTCCCCCAGCTGGGACGGGGGACTATCCAGTGAAATATGGGGGTTTTGTTCCAAGGCATGCCCAAAAAAGGAGCGGGGAGAGGAGCTCGGCCACCCCCGCCTTCGCCGCACACGCTCCTCCAGGGGCCGCCCGCCCGCGGCAGCGCTCCAAACTTGGCAACCTGGGCCTCGCGAGCAGCCTGCTTTTTTTAGCTTACATTCCCCAAACCAGGGGAGAGGCGGGTGACTGCAAATGCAAATCGGAGCGGGGCGTCAGCAGGCTGGCCCGTGGGTGCGGGAGTCTGGCTGAGGGAGACCCCACGACCTCAGGTGCCCTCCGTTACACTTGCGATGGGCACAGAGCGCCGGGAGGGGCGCTCGGAACAGCCGCTCCCGGCCCGGCCAAGCCACTGCCCCCGCTTCCGCCTCCCTGGCGGCGGCCGCACAATGAGCGGCCTCTTCTCCGCCCGGGGTTAGGGAGGGGAGGCCGGATTAGGGCCCGCGCCTTCCGGCCTCGGCCCCCCCTCCCCGCCCCAGCGCCGCCGGCCGCACACAGGTGGTTTTCCGCTCAGGAGAGGCAGGCCCCGGCGTTTTTATATTAACAATGGAGCTCTGCGCTCAGGACTGCGCCTCCCCGTCGCCGAGGCCCCGGCCGGGCCCCGCCTCCATCCGGCCCCCAGCTGGCTCCCCCCCCCTCCCCGCCTGCGCCCCGGCGCCTCGGCCGAGCGCTGCTCGGAGGCTGCGCCAACACCGCCCGGGTTACCTGTTGGCTCTGCAGAGCTGCAGAGACGTCCCCCGGGACCCCCAGCCCTCCTTAGGAGCCGGGGGATCCCGGCATGCACCCCCTCGCCCTCCCTGGGCCGCTACGGAACCCTCAGCCCCGCACCGTCAGCGGAGTCGCCCCCACTACGGCGCCCACCTTGCTAGGAGACCGGGGTGACGGGGGTGCTGACAGGAGTGCAATGCGCAGGCGCGGCCCGTCCTCCGCGAGAGCCGTGACGCAGGGGAGGGGGCTGCGGTTCACGCTGGGAAGAGAGGGTGGTAGGGTGGGGGGTGGGCAGGCTCCCCTTGGACATGCTGCTCTGTCTACACAGTCACCGCTCGCCGAGCCCAATTTATCCCTGCAACCTGCAGGCTTGCGGGAGGGCTTCCCCGAGCCTCCACGATGGTGGGCCAGCCCCCAGGCTCCGAGCGCCCTAGTGCACCTCGCGCGGGCGGCCCCGCCCGAGCAGCGCCTTTTTCGGAAGCCGAGCTTCCTGCCCAGAAATAAGTAACGAGCGCGACCCCCACCCCCTCAGCGCACGGTGGGTGACCGGCGCGGGGGCCAGGATCACAGGAACAATGGCTCTGGCTCCTTGCGCCCCACGCCGCTGGAGGGGGATAAAAGCATCAGACTGTCCAACAAGTTTGTTTCTGCAGTCTCCACTGTTTAAAAATAATAATTAAAACGCTATTTTTTTTAAAAAAAAAAAGTTTGATTCCTATTATCTGGACAACAGGTATTTGTTTGCTTGCTTTAAAATGTTTCAATATAATCCTGGTTTGTTTCCAAAGATGTTGGATTAACATTTAACACCTCACCGGTCACTAAAGCCCAGGCAGTTCAGCAGCCCCAACACAGCCTCGGCTAAAAGAACATCAGAGCCAACAGAATTGGGCTTTTTAAACAGGAAAACAAAGGTCACACCGCCGAAAGGAGGGCGGGGGAGGAGGGGTAAGGCGAACTCCAGTCCAAATGAGTTTAAAGGGAATAAAAAGAAAAAAAAAAAGTCAGCGCAAGTTTTCCTAAAGCTCGCTTGGTCACGAACAAGGGCTTTTGTGCCTGCTAATTGCACCATTTGTGCGCAAAAGTTCCGACGCGAAGTGTGAACTCTCAACAGAAGGAAACATGAGACAACTGAAGTGCCCTGGTTTATGTGCCCTGCTCCTCCGCCGCCGCCTCCTCTTCTTTCTCCTTCCTCCCGCCGAGGCCGCTGTTGCAGCTTGTTTGCACTGGGGCTTATCCGGAGCGGAAATTCCTTTCCGTTTTTGTGAATGACAAACTCATTAACAATTCATCAACACAACCTGTTCCAGCCGGCCCGTCTCCACGGCAACAGCCCCTTCCGCAGCTCGCTCATTGGCTGACGGGGAGAATGTATCCATTGAGACGCTCGCTGTTTGTATCCATTGAGGAGCTGCCTTGCGCTGGGGGTGTGCGAGGGCTGAGTCCGAGGGAGACAGAGAGTGCGAGGCTTGAATAACCTGAGGAGAAAGACGCTCGGGTGGATTTGAGGTGCAGCCTTGGAGGGAGGGATTAGGAGCCGCTGGACTTTTTTTCTCTCCCTCCCCTCTCAGTAGCCCGGAGTCCAAATTAATTGGATTTCATTCACTGGGGAGAAACAAAACTGTCTGGGCAGCTTCATTAAGAGCGATTCATTGACACCGAAAGCGAGCGGCTGCAGCCGGGTGCAGAGGAAAGAAACCACCCGCTTCACTTCTGTCTCGCCTTCCCCAGCCTCTTAACCCTGTTTGGGAAGAGCGAGGTGGAATTCAACCCCGCTCCGTGAGCGGCGGCTTCGCGTGGCGCGCTCGGCCTATGCCTGCCCCGAGGGGCGACTGCTAGGCACCCCACCCTCTCTCGCAGCTCGACCCCCATGATAGATACGCTCAGACCCGTGCCCTTCGCGTCGGAAATGGCGATCAGCAAGACGGTGGCGTGGCTCAACGAGCAGCTGGAGCTGGGCAACGAGCGGCTGCTGCTGATGGACTGCCGGCCGCAGGAGCTGTACGAGTCGTCACACATCGAGTCAGCCATCAACGTGGCCATCCCGGGCATCATGCTGCGGCGCCTGCAGAAGGGCAACCTGCCCGTGCACGCGCTCTTCACGCGCGGTGAGGACCGGGACCGCTTCACCCGGCGCTGCGGCACCGACACCGTGGTGCTGTACGACGAGAGCAGCAGCGACTGGAACGAGAACACGGGGGGCGAGTCGGTGCTGGGACTGCTGCTAAAGAAGCTCAAGGACGAGGGCTGCCGGGCCTTCTACCTGGAAGGTATGTGCGGGGGAGCAGGGCAGGGGGTGCGGGCTGTGGGCGGCCGGCGGGGCGCGCGGACTGGAGGTGCCCTGGCTGCGCGTGGCTGGCGCTTCGGAGCCGCGCTGCCCAGCCAGGGGTCGTCCGCTCGCTCGGGGCTGCGAACATTGCGCGCCCCGCACCGGGGAGCCAGGCCGGCGCAGAATTCACCCGCTCCCGGGGAGCAGGCACCCGCAGAACATCCTCCACCTCTTCTTGCTTTCTATCGTTCGATTTTGAATTAAAATTTGCAGGGTGGGATAGGTAGGTCGTTGGGGTGCATGTTGGCATTTCCTAGCCCCTCAGAGAATATTCAGGAAAGTTGCCATTTTGTGCATTTCCGGATTCAAAAGAATAAGGGCTCCCAGGGGAGGCGGGGCCCCGTTCGTTCCATTTCCAGGGGTGCACATTGAAGTGTCTTTATACATCTGGTTCTGTGTGTAGGGGGGTCGTAAGGTGCTGTGGTGTTTCCAGCGCCCGGCTGCGGCTTTCAAAGCTGTGAAAACTACTACGGGATCTCGAGTTACACGATTGCTTTTCTCGTCCTGGCAGGTGGCTTCAGTAAGTTCCAAGCCGAGTTCGCCCTGCACTGCGAGACCAATCTAGACGGCTCGAGTAGCAGCAGCTCGCCGCCGCTGCCAGTGCTGGGGCTCGGGGGCCTGCGGATCAGCTCCGACTCCTCCTCGGACATTGAATCTGACCTTGACCGAGACCCCAATAGTGCAACGGACTCGGATGGCAGCCCGCTGTCCAACAGCCAGCCTTCTTTCCCGGTGGAGATCTTGCCCTTCCTTTACTTGGGCTGTGCCAAGGACTCCACCAACCTGGACGTGTTGGAGGAGTTTGGCATCAAGTACATCTTGAACGTCACCCCCAATTTGCCGAATCTCTTTGAGAACGCAGGAGAGTTTAAATACAAGCAGATCCCCATCTCGGATCACTGGAGCCAAAACCTGTCCCAGTTTTTCCCTGAGGCCATTTCTTTCATAGGTGAGACTAATTAACAGCACTCGCTCACTTTTACATGCCAAAGTCTTAGCTCACAGAGTTTTAAGCTTTCGATCTTTCTTGCTGCTTGCCAATTTGTCAGTCTGCAGGTCTCTAATATTCCGAGGGCCTTCTTAATTCTGGTTCATCTTCTTGCTAAGGAAATCAAAAGCCCCTTTTGATAAGGCTAGTGACCACAGGTGTATTTGAAATGCCGGCTGTTTCTTAACTCTTTGAATTCAGTCATTTGGAAGGGGAGGGGTGGCACTCACAGTCAGACCACAGAATATTCCGACAATCTTTGGAATGGGAGAAGGCTAGAAAGAAGTACTTAGGGTAGGCAGGAATTCTAGCATTGCTGTAGAATTTTAAAAGACCTGGGAGCTATTTTATGACATCAAGGCCGTTGTTGGAAAGCCCTATGAGTGCTAGATGTTAAAATCCAGTTGAATGTTACTGTGATACCAGTGAACAGTGAGACAGTGCGGGTAACCTGAGCCCAGCAGGAAGGACTGTGGGCTGGAAGCCTGGAGAAGCGAATCTCCAGGCATTGTAATGCATTTCCTATTACAAAGGAACTCATTTTCAGGCCATGTCGACATCCTGTTCCTCCTAATGGGCTGTCCCCTGTGACTTCCCTCTCTCTTTTAAAATGCCTGAATACCTCCATTGTTAGCTGCACAACAGTTGGAGAATAATTTAATAGACCCTTGCCGGCTGCTTGTCTGTATAAAAGGCATTCACTACCATATTGCAGGGTTTCTGGTATTCACATGCTGAGGCAAAGAATGCACACATTAAGGAGTTTTTTGTTGGCAGAAACTTAATACAAAAGCTCCCTTTTCAGAAAACATCTGAAATATGTAATTGTGCCCAGTGTACATGTTTTATCGAAATGATACATTTTTTTTTTTGCTGCCTGCAGGGCTCAACTGCCACACACGATTACTCTCTGAATCTTTTAAAAAATTCATCTTTGAGACTGATCATTCATAAAGGGTGGTTTTCGGTCTATTGAAAGCTTGCCTTTCTTGTGTTTACAGATGAAGCCCGGGGCAAAAAGTGTGGCGTCTTGGTGCATTGCTTGGCCGGCATCAGCCGCTCAGTCACCGTGACCGTGGCTTATCTCATGCAGAAGCTCAATCTGTCCATGAACGATGCTTATGACATTGTCAAGATGAAGAAATCCAACATCTCCCCCAACTTCAACTTCATGGGCCAACTGCTGGACTTCGAGAGGACGCTGGGACTCAGCAGCCCCTGTGACAACCGGGTCCCCGCGCAGCAGCTCTACTTCACCACCCCCTCCAACCAGAATGTCTACCAGGTGGACTCCCGGCAATCCACGTGAAAGGCCCCACATTCCTCCGAGCTGGGATGTGTCCTTTCCTTCAGCAGTTTCTCTTGGCAGCATCGGCTGGGCTGCTTTCTTTGTCTGTGGTCCCAGGTGTGCAAATGACACCCGCTGTCTGTTAGACAAGGTTATCACATGTGGAATTGGTTATTACAGAGGGAGAGATTTGCTCCATTCTCCATGGGAAAAACAGGACTTGCTGTATAGATACAGGCAGTAGGTCTGGTCCATACCTATGTGTACAGCCTACCCATGCAGGGACTGGAATTTGAGGACTTCCAGATAAATAGGGTAGGACCAAATGGTAGGATAGGAGCTTGTGTTCTCTAGGGCTTTGTACCACTGTTTCTTTTTGCATCTGGAACTGACTATGTTGTCTTCAGTGAAGACTGATCAATTTTGCATATAGAGGAGCCAAAGACAGGTTTCAGCTCTGTAGTATCAGTTTGCAAAAAAAAAAAAAAAAAACCCACACATTAATAATAGATAAAAAAATCTGATACTCCATTTGATTATTGTAAATATTTGATCTTAAATCACTTGGCAGTGTTTGTTTGAACTGTGTTTGTTTTTTCTTTGATGGGTTTAAAAGAAATCATCCAAAGGAAGAAAGAGCGCTGTACCACTTCTTGCAACAACAACAAAACGGAAACTTTCGCTCTTTTCTAATCCAAAGGATATATTTGCAGCATGCTCAACTTTACCAATTCTGAATGACATGTTCATGGACACTATAGTCGCTGAGACCTTGTTATGGTGCAGTCCTCGGTATCTTTCATATACCTTCCTTGTGATTTCCCCCACCCCCTTAATGTAGTTTGACTATGCCTTACCTTTGTAAATATTTTGGCTTGTGTTGTCTTAAAGGGGATACCTTGGAAAAGGCACCAAAATCAATGGGCTCACTTTTTTTTTTTTTTTTAAACTTCAGCTGTGCTAAAACAGTATATTACCTCTGTACAAAATTCTTCAGGGAGCTTCACCTCTAATGCAATACTTTGGGTTGGTTTCTTTCCTTTTAAAAATTTCGTATAAAACTGGAAGTGTGTGTGTGAGCATGGGTACCCATTTCATAGGTGAAGTTGCATATGATTGTGAAGAGGGGGAGTTAGGTTGCTTCATTATGTTCATGGTGTAAAGTTTTGAGATGCAATTTATTATAAGAATGTAAAACCTTAAATTATTAATAAATAACTATTTTGGCTATTGAATGTGTGTATTTTTTTAAAAAAAATTCTTAATTGTATGTAAATGTGAAGTGGCACATTTTAGGTACTTTTCACTTAGGGCTGACACTGGATTGTAAAAGCACAGATAGGCCTAGCAGGGCAAAGGCCTCATCTTTTGAGCTACTCCAAGAATGTTTTTTAGGTGTAGTTTATGAAATTAATCTTTTGCTTTAAATAAGGGTGGCATCATAGAATGGACTAAGTATATCATGTGTATGGACAATATTTTCTGTATATATAGTTCCGTGAATATAGTTCTGGCTTATAAGAATTTATATTGGGGTATAAAATGCAGATATTAATGAACAGTCAAAAAGGGAACCCCCAGGGTACCAGAATTAAGATGACAGTAACAGCGTTAACCTCTCCTTTCTCCATCAGGATCTTCTCAATAATGCATATGCCAAGGAGAAAGAAGGGATTAATTATTTTTCCAGTCAGTTACTATCTGGCAATTCTACTTGCAAATTAATCTTAATGCTGGAATAAGGAGTGAATCAGGAGTGTGTGGCTAAGTATATCCAAGCTTTCTCACTTGAGCCTGGATTTGGCTTTAACGTTTTACATTGGCATTTTAGTTGAAGCTTTGTCACTCCTGTTCTAATGTACTTGGTGTTTAACTGGTTTAGAATGTAGGTCAGAAACCACAATTGACCCTGATGGAGGTTATTTTGAACAGTTTCAGGTAAAGGTTTACTATCCTGTCATTTTCTTGGGACATCCTGTCTCTTTGTCCCAAGTGTAACAGAACACAAGCCAAAAATAAAAGTAAAGGGCAGGCGTGTGTAATCAAAAGAACTAAAGCCTAACTACATTTTGTTTTCTCTTCAAATGCGCTTAGTCCCTTTATCTGCAGTTGGGAAGAAGCTGAGCTTTTCACCCACATGGCACATGTCAGATGCCAATTGGGTGGTTTGGTAATTTTCATGATAGGCATGTGGCCCTGACTTTATGGCAACCATATCAAACTGTCCAGTGGGACTTTTAGTGAGTAAGCATGTATAAAAGGCAAATGCACAGAAAACGACCAAGCCAGTCTCCCATTCGGCTTCCCCAAGTCAGCCAGAGCTCAGAAAGGAGAAGTGGGTTGCAGTTCCACTTGGCCCGTGTTAATCCAGTTCTGAACGGTTTCCGCTCCTGGCATTCCCTAGACTGGCTGTTCAAAGTGGGGATTTGCAAGCAGCGTTAGCAATTTCCTGTCCAGCTGCAGCTCAAGTAGCTGTGTGCTTCTCCCCCCCCCCCCCCCCTTTCTTTGTTCTGGATTCTTTCTCTCTCTTTTTTTCCTTTCTTTTTTCTTTAACATGGGCTGTGGATAATTTTAGTGCATTTCCTCTCTGTGGATTATCATCTTTCCTCCTCAAACTTGCATACATTGAGTTCCTACTGCTCGGCTCAAGCCGACAGCTGGCCTCCCCAGCACTTCCTCTCCGTTCACTGTGGGTTTGTTGTTTGTCAGTCCACTTCTGAAATTAATAATGTTTTCTGGCCAAGTGCCACAAGCCATTACCACAAAGGGGAAGTAACACATATGAATAGCAGGAAGCCATGCAGGGTCACAGTGTGAGCTGAACCTGCGGAGGGAACATAATTGAGCCCGGCCCATTCAGCAAGTGTCTGACATCGATTTGGGGAGCGGGAGCTCCCTGCATTTAAACAGCTCAAGCTGTGAAGAAAAAATAAAAGTTTCCAACAGATTGGTAGCAAATGGTCTTTGTCATCAGTCTGAGTAAAAGAGGGAGCCAGAAGAGTTTCGGGCCCCCATAAAGTGGCAATACTTGGGGTTTCTCCCCCTCCCTCTCCTGGTATATTGTTTCATAAGGCTGGTGAACAGAGGGGGGCCTGCCTCCCTCTATGGCCACAAAAGAACTCATGTGAAATGGGTGGTTTTTATGGTTCACACAAGTCAAAAGATTCAAAGAGCTATTCTCTCTCTTTTTTCTTCTGTGGGAAGGGGAAGGTTGTAACTGACAGCACGGGCCTCCACCTCTTCTTGGCCTCCCCTCCTGGCCATCCCTCTGTTCCTGTGGTTCCTTTGTGTTTGTAGGAGCCGCGTGAGGCGATCATTTTGCATCTTGGAGTTGGGCTCACTTCCTGAATGGAGCCTGCAAGCGGTTACTAGGGCAACCTTAGCCAGCAGCCCAGCTCCCGCTCCCTCCTCACCTGCTGTCCCCATTGGTGGCTTCCTCAGGTCTTGGAGAAAGTGTTACCTTTCCTGGCCTTCTGGGGTTAGGGGGCCTTTCCGGAAAGGATGTTATCTACAGGTTTTGGGGGGCGGTGGGAGACTTAGGGACTGCACTGGTTGATGGTATACACTGATTTTAGGGTTAAAATCAGACTGAGAAAGAAAGATCTGGGGATAGAAATACCAGCACAGCCTTCAAAGGAGTGAAAACGGAGACTTGCCCAGACCCAACAATTAGGGGACCTGAACTCTAACTCTTGCTCTCTCACTAATGAATCAGATAGCCCTGGGCAAGTCACCCAGCCTCACTGAGTTTCTTTTTTCTTGTCTGTAAAGTGAGAGAGTCTTTGCCTTTCATTCTAGGATTCTCTTATGATTCCAGCCTTCTGGTCATGGGTGGGTGACACAGATGAGGTAAAATAAGGTGCAGAGCAGGTGAAACAATTAACATTTATTGACACTCTCAGATGCTATACTTCATGTACAGTATTATATCTTTTAATCCTCAAACAGCTCTGTGACATAGATCCTATTATTATCCTTATTTTTCAGTGAGGAAACTGAGGCAGAGAAAGGCCAATAACACCTAAAGTCACCTAATGGGAAGTGGTTGAACTGAGCTTTGGAACGTTAGCTCTTCTTGTAAACTGCCTGCCATAAGTATCTGCTTGTCTTTGTAAAGTCCCGTGATGTTTAGTAGGAAGTGATGACCCCATTTTACAGCCGAGGAAGCGGAGGAAGCAGAGGTGAAGTGACCTGCCACATCCAACCCCAACCCCAGCCAACTCACGAGAGAGCCAGAGGGCCCCAGCTGGTGAGTTGCCAGAGAGATGTCATATCTGTCTGGAAACTTCCATTCTCCCTTCCGCAGGAAAGTTGCCCTTTCTTGAGCTCATGAGCACATAACTTACAAAACTGGTTTTCCTAAGGATCTCTGAAGTGACTAGCAGCTATCCAGCCGGCCCTGACCCTTGCCCACACTCCCCTTTTAGGATTACACCAGTGAAAAGGCCCCAGAGAAATTCAATTCCTCAATATGATGCCTCTGGAGAAAAGGTGGGGGGCGGGTGTTCAGGTGGGGGAGAAAGAGAGAGAAAGAGGTGGTGGAGGGGCCGGGGGGGGGGGGGGGGGGATGGGGGGCGGGGAGAGAAGTAAAGGGCGGATGTGATAGCTGGCTGTAAGTAAATATTCTTGAAAAGTCATCTAAAAAAAAAATTAGTGTTTAGACCTTAAGCGGTTTCAAAAGAATTACTTTGAGTATACATTTATATGCAGTTTCTCACGCAGTAATAATCATTTTCCAGAAAGGTCCTACAGACTGAAATTCCAAATACCCTTACTCTTGTGTTCTTATCACAACTGGCCCCAAATCAGTTCAGTTTTAGTGACAGAATCTTCAAGCTTCTTTAGTCCAAAATTGATTTCCTAAGAGTATTTAAGGGCATAGAACAAAGTTCAGACAACTCGCAAATATTTATCTGAGCCTTGATCTGTATTGCACCGGTTTGATGAAACAAGGTTAAAGTAAAAGGCAACAGAAGACTTAACAAGCCCTCAAAGACTGAAGATAATGTGGTGTTTCTTAATCACTTAATGTGATTAAGTGTAATCCCTTAATCTTTCTGTGTGTGCCATATCAGAATGGAACCTTCAAGGACCTATTGGGCAAGTCCTTGCCTGCCTCAACAGTTAAAATAACCTATATTTTGGACCCTATATTTGATTCTTTTATGTAGGAAAGGATGAATAGCCCACATGCATGCAATTTGGCCAACTGACTTCCCAGTTTTGTCACGGAAAATACCTTTAGAGGATGTGTGTGTATCCGTGCCTTTTAGTGATGAGACATTTTGGACCACCATGCCGCCAAAAATGAACTCCCAGACACACAAGGAAAAAAGAGAAGAAATATCATATATTATTTGGTGATGACATCCTAAAATGCACTAAGCAAGTGTGAAAAAAGTTGCTTCCTGTAAGCTAGAAGTGTTTTTATCACTTGGACTAGTTAATTCTTACTGCAAATACAAACAGAAGAAGGAAGAAGAAAGTGGGAGGGGTGCATAAGGGGATTGTTGGAAAAGCACAGCTCCCAGGACAAGTGTAGCAGGAATATCCCTTTATCTTATGTTCTGATTATTATTACTGAATGACAAACCACCCCAAAGCATAGTGGCTTCTAACCACAACAGTCTTAAGTGTGAGTCTGGGCCAACCTCCGCAGGGGAGGCTTGTGTCTGCTTGGTGCCCTATTGTGGGGGTTCATTCCTTTCCCAAAAGGGGTCACTCACATGGCCCACAAGCTGGTGCTGGCTATCAGCTGGGAGCTCAGCCAGGTTTCAGGGCCAGGGACTTAGGTTCTTCTCCATGTGGCCTAAATTTCCTCACAGCATGGTGTCTGAGTTCTCTGGGTGAAACCCTGTCAGGTGGAAAGGATTGACCTTCAGGTCGTAGGCTCAGAAGTCACTTCTGCTGTAAACAGAGGTCTATCAAGGTTGAAGGAGATGAGATGAAGGAGGAGCAGATTCTGAAAGAGCACCTGGGAAAGAAAATATTGTTGCAACCCTAGCCTTTTTGGCTCAGTGGTTGAAGTGTTGGCCTGCAGATGGAAGGGTCTTGGGTTCAATTCTGGTCAAGGGTAAACTACTTCAGTTGCAGGATTGATTCCTGCATCCTGGCGCGCATGAGGGAGGCAACCAATCAATGTGTCTCTCTCACATTGATGTTTCTCTTCCTCTCTCTCCCTCCCTCCCTTCCACTCTCTCTAAAAATCAATGGAAAAATATTCTCTGGATTAATA